CAGTCTGAATAACATATTTAAAATTCATTTCAAATACATTATCTATGAAGAATATTTATAGCAAAGTAAAATACTCAAATTTTGTAGTTTTTCTCTTATAACCGGAAGTTGTCCTTTTCGTTTCCGGTGGGACCAGCATCATTCGAATCTGAGAAAAAGATACAATAAAGTGATGCATTTTTTAATTAAAAAAAGAAAAGTTGAAATTTTCAATTTCTTTGATCACTTCCTGTGACGATCGGAAGTGACGGCTGACGCTCTGAACCCAAGTGGTTTTGGCTACTTCTTCAGGTCTGTTGCTCTTATAAGTCTGATGTCCTGATCTCTCACCGTTTCCGAGATCTTGCTCAGACAACTTCTCATTTTGAGGACAGAAAAACACGCGACCGGAAGTGAATTTTTGAAAGATATTTGAGGTTACACTAGACATTTGCTGTCTGAATAACATATTTAGAATTCATTCCAAACACTTTATCTACAAAAGATATTAATGGGAAAGAAAAATACTCATATTATGTAGTTTTTCTCTTATAACCGGAAGTTGACGTTTCTGTTTCCGGTGGGACCAACATATTTCGAAACTACAAAAGAGATGCAATAAAGTGATGTAAGAATTGATTTAAAAAAGGAAAGTTGAAATTTAACGATTTCTTTGATCACTTCCGTAAGCGACCGGAAGTGCCGACGACAGACGAAAAGGTGCCCTCTCCAATCTAAAAATCATGTTCTATCATCTCTAACAAGTCTCCAGTTAATATCTTAAGCCATTCTTGAGAACACTCGCGGACAAAATTGCATTTTAAAATCAGAAAATTGTCCATAACTTGGCACTGGAACCGAGTTTACCAAAAAACGGAATTTTATATAAAATTCATATAAGGACCTTTTATCCCTGAAAATTTCAAGGAAATTCATTGAATAGTTTTCGAGAAATCGCGTGCACAAAATTTTGTCTAAAAAAAAAGAATAATAATAATAATAATAATAATAATAAGAAACAATAGAATCACTATAAGGTCTTCCGTGGAGACGGAAGACCTTAACTAGAAACTCATTGCGAGCAATGAGAGGTCTTCCGTCCGATTTTGAAAGTGAAAACGTAAATTCAAGCTGAAAAGGTGATAAAAGAAATTCAGACACTCTGGAAATTTAACCCTGGTTGTCAGGGTGAAAATCCAACATGCTAATCATTAACCATTCACTTTTTTGCATCACTTCCTGTCACGACCGGAAGTAACGGCGATACAAGATTTCCTCGCGATTCAAATAAACTGATGACTGACTATCAGTTCTGAAAGTTTTAGACTTCAGTCGTTTACTCTTGCCGAGCAATATTGTGAGAACAAATTATAATTCTGAGGAGAGGTAAACACGCGACCGGAAGTGAATTTTATAAAAAATCTCTGACGTTTCTCTGTACATTTGCAGTATCTACAAAATGCATAAAAACATTTCAAGTACTTTATCGATGAGCAATATTTATGAGAAGGTTAAATATCGAAGTAACGTAGTTTATCACCTAAAACCGGAAGTTGACGTTTTTGTTTCCGGTGCAATCTAACATGTTTCAAAACAGCGAAAGAGATGCAATAAAGTGATGCAAACTTTAATTCAAAAAAGAAAAATTAAAATTTTTGATTTCTTTGATCACTTCCTGTGACGACCAGAAGTTACGACGGACGCGTTTAACCAAAATGGTTTTGCCTACTCCTCAAGGTCTGCTACTCATAAAAATTTGGTGCTTTAATCTTTTACCTGTTTTTGAGATCTCGCTCAGACAATTTTTCATTTTGAGGACAGAAAAACACGCGACCGGAAGTGAATTTGTGAAAGATATTTAAGGTTACTCTAGACCATTGCAGTCTGGATAACATATTTAAAATTCATTTCAAATACGTTATCTATAAAGAATATTTATAGGAAAGTAAAATACTCAAATTATGTAGTTTTTCTCTTATAACCGGAAGTTGTCGTATTTGTTTCCGGTGGGACGAACATCTTTCGAATCTGCGAAAAAGATGCAATAAAGTGATGCAATTTTTAATTAAAAAAGAAAAGTTGAAATTTTCGTTTTCTTTGATCACTTCCTGTGACGACCGGAAGTGACGACTGACGCTCTTAACCCAAATGGTTATGCCTACATTTTAAGATCTGTTGCTCATAACAGTTTGGTGTCATAATCTCTTACCGTTTCCGAGATCTTGCTCATACAACTTCTCATTTTGAGGACAGAAAAACACGCGACCGGAAGTGAATTTTACAAAGATATTTGAAGTTATCCTAGACATTTTTAGTCTGAATAACATATTAAAAATTCATTTCAAATACTTTATCTTCAAAAGATATTAATGGGAAAGAAAAATACTCAAATTATGCAGTTTTTCTCTTATAACCGGAAGTTGACGTTTTTGTTTCCGGTAGGACTAACATATTTCGAAACTACAAAAGAGATCCAATAATGTGATGTAAGTATTTATTTAAAAAAGGAAAGTTGAAATTCAACGATTTCTTTGATCACTTCCGTAAGCGACCGGAAGTGCCGACGACGAACGAAAAGTAGCGACCCGGCTAGTACCTATCACGAACTATAATCCCTGAAAGTTTCACATTGATATCTCTTGTAGTTCTTGAGATTATCCGCGGACAAAATGTCATTTTGAAATCAGAAAATGGTCTTTAACTTGGCACCAGAAGTGAATTTCCAAAAAATCTCTCAGATAGATGAAGTTCATGTTACAACACACTATTACTGTAAATTTCATGTAAATCCATCCAATAGTCTTCGAGAAATCGCGTGCCAAAAATTAGAAAGTCAAAAAAATAATAATAACTAGAAACTCATTGCGAGCAATGAGAGGTCTTCCGTCCGATTTTGAAAATAAAAACGTAAATTCAAGCTGAAAAGGTGATAAAAGAAATTCAGACACTCTGGAGATTTAACCCTGGTTGTCAGCGTGAAAATTCAACGTGCTAACCATTAACCATTCACTTTTTTGCATCACTTCCTGTCACGACCGGAAGTAACGGCGATATAAGATTTCCTCGCGATTCAAATAAACCGATGACTGACTATCAGTTCTGAAAGTTTTAGACTTCAGTCGTTTACTGTTGCCGAGCAATATTGTGAGAACAAATTATAATTCTGAGGACAGGTAAACACGCGACCGGAAGTGAATTTTATAAAAAAAAAAAAAATCTCTGACGTTTCTCTACACATTTGCAGTATCTACAAAATGCATAAAAACATTTCAAGTACTTTATCGATAAGCACTATTTATGGGAAAGTTAAATATCGAAATAACGTAGTTTATCACCTAAAACCGGAAGTTGACGTTTCCGTTTCCGGTGGAATCTAACCTATTTCAAAACAGCGAAAGAGATGCAATTAAGTGATGCAAACTTTAATTTAAAAAAGAAAAGTTAATTTTTTTTATTTCTTTGATCACTTCCTGTGACGACCGGAAGTTACGACGGACGCGTTTAACCAAAATGGTTTTGCTTACTCCTCAAGGTCTGCTACTGATAAAAATTTGGTGTTTTAATCTTTTACCTGTTTGTGAGATCTCGCTTAGACAATTTTTCATTTTGAGGACAGAAAAACACGCGGCCGGAAGTGAATTTTTGAAAGATATTTGAGGTTACATTGTACTTTAGACCTTTGCAGTCTGAATAACATATTTAGAATTCATTTCAAATACATTATCTATAAGGAAAATTTATAGGAAAGTAAAATACTAAAATTTTGTAGTTTTTCTCTTATAACCGGAAGTTGTCGTTTTTCTTTCCCGTGGGACCAACATCTTTCGAATCTGTGAAAAGGATGCAATAAAGTGATGCAATTTTTAAATAAAAAAAGAAAAGTTGAAATTTTCGATTTCTTTGATCACTTCCTATGACGACCGGAAGTGACGGCTGACGCTCTGAACCCAAGTGGTTTTTGCTACATCTTAAGGTCTGTTGCTCATATAAGTCTGGTGTCTTAATCTCTTACCGTTTCCGAGATCTTGCTCAGACAACTTCTCATTTTGAGGACAAAAAAACACGCGACCGGAAGTGGGTTTTTGAAAGATATCTGGGGTTACTCTAGACATTTGCTGTCTGAATAACATATTTTAAAATCATTCCAAATACTTTATCTACAAAAGATATTAATTGGAAAGAAAAATACTCAAATTATGTAGTTTTTCTCTTATAACCGGAAGTTGACGTTTCTGTTTCCGGTGGGACCAACATATTTCAAAACTACAAAAGAGATGCAATAATGTGATGTAAGAATTGATTTAAAAAAGGAAAGTTGAAATTCAACGATTTCTTTGATCACTTCCGTAAGCGACCGGAAGTGCCGACGACGAACGAAAAGGTGCCCTCTCCAATACAGAAATCATGTTCTATCATCTCTTACAAGTCTCCAGTTAATATCTTAAACCATTCTTGAGAACACTCGCGGACAAAATTTCATTTTAAAATCAGAAAATTGTCCATAACTTGGCACTGGAACCGAATTTACCAAAAAACGGAATTTTATATAAAATTCATATAAAGACCTTTTATCCCTGAAAATTTCAAGGAAATTCATTGAATAGTTTTCGAGAAATCGCGTGCACAAAATTTTGTCTAAAAAAAAAAGAATAATAATAATAATAATAAAAAGAAACAATAGAATCACTATAAGGTCTTCCGTGGAGACGGAAGACCTTAATAAGAAACAGTAGAATCACAATAGGTCTTCCGTTGAAAACGGAAGACCTAATAAGAAACAATAGAATCACTATAAGGTCTTCCGTGGAGACGGAAGACCTTAATAATAATAATAATAAATATATACCTCATTAGAAAGAAATATTTATTAACGATCAAAATCAAGAACTGACAAAATCTAATATCAAATAAACTTATTAAAACGTTCCTACTTTTAAGAAACAAAAAAAATATGTATGACATAAAACTTCTTCACTTTTCTCTAAAATGTAATTTAGAGGATTTGAATTACTAATACTTACAAATATTACAAAAGGAGCCTTTCCACCCAGTAGTACAACTGCTACAGCTTCCAAAGAAACGATCACAAGTTTCATTATTCCAACAATTTCCACTACACAATTGTGTGCATTCTTTTCCATACTCTCCTATGTCACAGGCTGAAAAGAAGACATTGATAAATCTATACTTAAGGAAGACAAAAATTGGGACGGATAGTCCTGTTCTCTGTCTAACCCATTTCTTAACCCTGAGCTCAAATGTTTTCCTTATAGCGAAATGATTTTCCATCTACTCCAATCAGAATCAATAAAGATCTGCCTTAGCAGTCCAAATTCGAAATACATTGCTACCTTGCTATGCTACACGTGTTCATAAATGTGATAGACATACTAACCAGAAGTTTCTAATGAGATTGTAGCTCTACTGGTTTGTATTTTCATATTAAAGGAAGAAAATGTTTTACCTAGACTTGAAACACTTACTTTTTAGATTTATATTTATTGTTTTATGTATTTTCCTTTTTCTAAATCGTACCAAGTTCTGTTGAAATAAAAAAAAAAACAATTGAAAAAACATTTGAAAGATTTACAATACTCTTTTAAGTAGCTATGGAAACACTGATTTTTTCATATACCACACTTGTGACGTCAAATGGGTTTTGCGTAATGAAGTAAAATAATATAGATTCATTTATAAAAAAATAAAAATTATAAAAATTTATAACTATGTGTAAAACAAGTGACAAAAAAATCTCCAATGATTTAAAGTTGGATATGATTTTTGTGCCACTCGTTTTGTGTTTTTACCCCAAAGGAAAAAAAAAACAAAAACAAAATCATATACAAGGACCAAATATGGGAGATTCTATCTATCTATCTATCTTTATATATATATATATATATATATATATATATATATATATATATATATATATATATATATATATATATATATATATATATATATATATATATATAAAGAGAGAGAGTTTTGCAAACAGAAAACAGACAAACAGACTTAAGGAGGAGAAGGACACATGGTCACATGATTCTGTTTAACTACGTCATAGTCTCCGTTTATATAAGTGCAAAACGTGTAAAGCATCAGTTCTTGTATAAATTTTTGACAATGTTTTAACTTTAATTACCATCTTATTTAAAAAAAGTAAAAAATTTCAACATTCTGGCAAACATTACCAAATTATGAAAAAGATTGATCCACTCCTCTTTTTCCTAAACTGCGCGTCCAACAAGTCGGTGACGTCATACACGATCTGTTAGTACGGCAAGATCATACTCGGTGAACACAGGGGCGGTATTATTATGTAAAAACAGGTCATAATCAGTATATGATGAAATATTTTGAGAAACGGGGAACACAAAAATTATTTTTGCATGGCTGATGACGGAAATCTTATGTAGGTATATCTTATTTCGCTTATTTAACTTACGTGTGACGTCACAGTTGGTTTTTCCCGTACTCGAGAAATGTAACTTGACACGTTTTTTGTCATGCTTATGTCCTCTTTAACGATGTCCTGTGAAATATTGAGGTCAGCTTCATCATTCGAAATTTTTACAGTTAATCAATAATTTGAAGGATTTGCATTTCAGCGTAAATAAAAAAATATTGAATGATAGAATTTTTGTAAATTACGTTTTTGTTGTTTAAGTTGTCTTAAAAAGTGCGTAATTTTACATATCCAGATGCAGTGTGATAGACAAAACTTGCTTTTTCGAATTTTCAATCTATTTATACTCTGTATTATTTTAAAAGATACATGTCCACTGTAATATATTTTTTTATGCTTAAAAAATCCCATTATGGACAGAGTGATGAGTCCGGAAACATGGAGAATTAAAACTCCACTTAGATACTGTAGGGCACAGTATTTGTCAATCAATATCTCCATAATAAGGTAAGAAACCTAATGATATAACTGCTTTAAAATATATGGGACATACTTAATTAGAAATATACAAAATATTAAAAAAATTGAATGACAAGTATTTTTTCAGCTCAAGGTCCTTCTCCTCCTTAATATAAAATACATAGTGATCATAAACCGTAGAGATATCTATTTCAAAATTTACATTTGAAAAAAAAAACATGATTTTTCGATCGTATACATATACATATATAACATATACATTTAAAAAAATCATTTTGATTTAATAGACGATCAAGAACGATACTTACTGTTTCAATATTCAGATCAATTCTGTTTGCTAAACATTACTTTTTCAACTGATATCTACTCGCGTTGTTTCATGCCCTGAATATTAAGGGCAAATATACAAGTACATGTACTAGTATTAAACAATAGGCAATACAAGAAATATTATTTAAAATTTTAATCCTCTCTTTAGGATTTTTATACTATTTAACTTGAAGAAATTAATTCAAAATTTTATTTAAATCAAGATGAACTTTTTCTTAAACTCACCTAGTACATTTTCCTGGCACAAGGCAACAGGAAATTTAAGACTGAATTTTAAGTACCTTCCTACATGTACAACACAGAGCATGTTACATTCATTTAAAACTAAAAACATATATTATTCAGCTATGTAAATTACATACATGTGTTGCACTGTGAACCTTTCCAACCCGCATCACAACTGCCAGTACAATTTCCTTCTTGACGATCACACTTGCAATGTCCGCAGATGAGTGTGCAGTTTTCCCCATAACGTCCATTAACACAATCTATACAATAAGAATTCAAAGAACAACATAAATAATAATCTAATATACGTATCTATTATATGTAATAATAAACAATAGATGTATACAAGTACATAAAACATATCTACAATGGCACCGATTCTTAAACGTCCTGCTACAAAGTATCAAAAAATTTAATTAATCAATTAATCAAATATCTCAGTGCAGGAAAGAATTTTGAACACTTTGTCCACACGTCCTATAATAACATAACAAACATGCATGGATGAAATTAAAAAAATGGCAGGACACATAATTGTCATCCTGCACTAAAACATCAGGCTATGCAAATAAATTTTTATAGCGTAGCATGACAGACAGACAGACAGCTAGACAGACGGATAGACGACGGACACCTAAGCTAAAAACTACAATTTCTTTTAAATATATATATCAGAAAGTCTTTCAGAATGTAGTAATATTTTCTTTTTTTCCCAAATGAAGTTCTAATAAAAATTCTGAAACTTTTTTATGCGTTTGTCAACTTATTGTCACTTCGGAAATTTTAACCTGAATGTATATATAATATGACAATATAATTGAAAAAAGGTTAATGCAAGTTAAATTTTTCAAAAAAATTTCAAATTTGTCGGTCATTTTTGAATTCACACATTCAGCGCACTATGAGAGGATGCCAAGCCCTATTGTTTTTACAGCAATAAACAAAGCAATATACTACATGTATCATAATGTATAGTGAACACACTCGCTGGCGACATTGAATTGAAGAAGCCCATGGGCCACATCGGTCATCTGAATACTTTAGCAAGTAAAAAAGCAGAAATCAGTTTAGTATTTAAAAGTTTAAATATGCAAGTGGTCGGGGGGGGGGGGGGATTTGAACAAACTTGAATGTACAGTCCTGAGGATGCTTCTGAATTAATATGACTAATAAATGCTTTGCTTTCTTGAGAAGAAATTTTTTATTGATATATCCTTTATATTCCTTTGTATAACTATGATTCCCTACCATGGCCTGTGACGGTACATATTGTCGTTTTGTACATATTGTCGTCCATCGGTTTATATTGTCGCCGGCTGAAATGTTACACATGTACATATTGTCGCTGGCGACATTATGTGCCCCACATTCACTGCACATTTTGTCGCCCCAGGGAAACTGTTGCTGAAAGATTTCTTTTGTTGTTTTTTGGTAGTTTGTGAATGCAATAGGTGTTAGAATCACACTGACGTGTCACGTATGCTATTTCATGCAGCGTGATTGTGACGGTACATTTTGTCGTTCTGTTCATATTGTCGCTAGTAACAATGTGTACCTACCCTCAGTGCGCATATTGTCGTCCATCATTGTCGCATGACAATGCACAGCAATGCCCCATATAAATATGACTAATTATTGTTTTGTTGTTTTTGAGAAGATGAGTTTTAAGAATTTTCCCCATATATTTCTATTGTCAAGGAGTGAATTTAAGTATTTTACTTCTACTCTGATGGTTCAGCATCTGTGTTATATTTATCAATTTGAGATCTCTCCCCCTCCTGTCCCACGGTATCAATGACAGCATTTTAAGTTTTACATTCAGCGTAGAGATAAAAGGTTAAACGTTTCCTGTCTTGAGAAGTCGGCCTAAATAAATGTCAACCATCTTTCTTTTGATGTTACAATTTCAGTTTTATTCCATTTCATTGGCTATCTTTAAAAATGAGGAAGGAGTTTGGGGGAAAGAGATGAAATTTGTGTCTGTAAGTTTAAAGTCTTAGAGTAGAGTTTTAGCGAGTTAAATGTAACATTTTGGAATTCATGAATAAAGAACAGTTAACATGTAGTGACGAGTGTTTTCTTGGAAAGCTTAATCATATCGTCACACTATGTAAAACTTTGATCGCCCTTTGTAACTACACCCTAGGCCCAGTTTGTTTTGAAGATGCTTGAATCTACGCTACCTGAGGATGCTTCCATATAAACATCACTAATCACGGGCCTACTGCTGTTCCTCAGTGGTGGATCCAGAAATTTCAGATCGGAAGGGAGGGGGGTCAGAATTTTTTTTGACAATCAAACAAAAAAGTCATTTTGTATGTAAACGTGTGTTACTGTATATGTTAAGTAAACCATTTAATTATGAAATTTTACCTGTGGACTAAATTGATAGTTAAAGAAACACAATTTACGAAAGCAATATATATATATATATATATATATATATATATATATATATATATATATATATATATATATATATATATATATATATATATATATATATATCAAACCACCGGTGGGGCGGGGGAGGGGGGGGGGCGTTGCTAAATGTCTGGTTTGATTCTGAGAAAATTTATAAAATTTTCTGTATATATTCCTATGTAAAACTTTAATCGCGCATTGTGGCCCACACCTATCCCTGGGATCATGATTTGAACAAAATTGATCAAGCTTCTGTTTCTTTGTTGTTATTATGTCCATCTCGAAAATTTTTCATTCGTATGTAGAAGACATCACCTACCGGTGGAGGGCTGCAAATTTTGACCTATATTTCGCACTCGGGGATCATTGAGCAGTGAGGGATCTTTTTCGTGCCAGCACCTCAAAATTGAACGTACGCTATGTAATGAAGCTTTCTCATAAGTATTATCTCTTTTGACCCAGTAGTTCTTGAAAAAAAAAGATTTTGAATGATTTTTTTTTCTAAATATTCTATGAAAAACTTTGATCACCTTTTGTAGCCATACCCTTCCCCCGAGGGACATGATTTGAATAAAACTGAATCTACACTTCATAATGAAGCTTTCAGATAATTTTCAACTTTTCTGACACAGTGGTTCTTGAGAAGATTTTTAAAAGATGTCACTGAATTTTCACTAATTCTTAACTACTTCCCTTGAAAGAGCGCATTGCCCTTCATTTGAACAAACTTGAATCCCCTTTATCCACGGATGCTTTGTGGCAAGTTTGGTTGAAATTGATCCAGTAGTTCTTGAGAAAAAGCGGAAATTGTGAAAAGTTTACAGACAGAGGGACGGTTAGACAAAATGTGATCAGAAAAAATCATTTGAACTTCCAGTTCAGGTGATCTAAAAATGTCAACCCCAACACCAATTACATCGACACATGATTGTATTTAAGAATAACGCAAAAAATAATCTCCAAAATAATCATTACTACTCATCAAAAAAACTAATACATGTATTCAATCTCCAAGTATATATTACAAGAAAAATATCAGATATCTCAAGAATTACGGTATCTTGACATATCATAGTGATGTACATCAATCCTGGACAGAATTTTCTGACCAAAAAGTTTTCTCTCTACAGTATTGCGAGTAATGCTGTCTGTCTCCCTCCGTGTGTGTGTGTGTTTGTCAATCTCTCTTTCCTTTCTCAAGTAAATATTAGTCAAAACAATAGATCGACGACAATATGTGCCCACCTTGACTGTACATATTGTCGCCGACGACAATATGTGCTGTTAGTGCTTGACTGCACATTTTTCCTCCATTATGCAGGGGAAAAATAAGGCTTGTCTCGGCACAAATTGTCGCCGGCGACAATATGTATCGATGGACGACAATATGTGCAGTGAGGGTATGTACATATTGTCGCCGACAACAATATGTACAAAACGACAATATGTACCGTCACATGGCCCCTCTATACTCCTGGTGGAAAGGGGGGGGGGGGGCATGATTTGAACAAAATTCAATCTACATTACCTGAGGATGCCTCTATATTATTATGACCAATCATGGCTTTGCTGTTGATTTTTAAAGATTTTTTTTCCCTATGTATTTCTATGTAAAACTTTGATCACCATTTGTTGCCCCATCCCAGCTCCTGGGGGTCATGATTTGAACAAACTTGATTTTACGCTACTGAGGATGCTTCCATATAAATATGACTAATCATGGATGGCTTTGCTTTTCTTGAGAAGAAATTTAGAAGATTTTTCCTATGTATTCTTATATAAAACTTTCATCCCCATCCAAACTCCTGGGGGTCATGATTTGAACAAACTTGATTCTACACTACTAAGGATGTTTCCATATAAATATGACTTATCATGGCTTTGCTGTTCTTGAGAAGAAATTTTTTAAAGATTCTCCCATGTATTCTAAAATAAAACTTTGATCGCCCATTGTGGCCCCACCCAACCCCCGGGGATCATGGTTTTAAGAAATATGATTCTACACTACATGAGGATGCTTGCATATAAATATGACCAATCATGGCTTTCCTGTAGTTGAGAAGAAGATTTTTAAAGATTTTTCCTACGTATTCCTTTGTAGAACTTGCCCATTGTGGCCCCACCCTACCCCTGGGGTCGATATTTTGAACAAACTTGAATTTACACTCCTAAGTCTACTTGAGGATGATTCCATATAAGTTTCATATTTTCTAGCACAGTTGTTCTTGTGAAGAAGATTTTTTAAAAGATACCATTAATTTTTCACAAATTCTTAATTATCTCCCCTTGGAATAAGGTGTGGCCCATCATTTGAAGAAATATGAATCCCTTTTACCTAAGGATACTTTGTGGCAAGTTTGGTTGAAATTAGCCCACTGGTTCTTGAGAAGAAGTCAAAAATGTGAAAAGTTAACAGATAGACGAACAGACGAACGGACGCCGGACAAAATGTGATCAGAAAAACTCAATTGAGCCTTCGGCTCAGGTGAGCTAAAAAACCTATGGAGACCTAGTCCACAGCAATTGCGAGGTAAACAAAATGAATGGCGGACTCATTCTCAAAACCTTACGTAACCTGTTCTTTATTATAATGTACAAAAATTTGTGTGAATTTTGTACAAAGAAATGAATGCTAGAAATCTCTGTTAACTCATTTGAACACATCATTGTCAAAGCATATTCCCTGGTACTACCCCTTACAAAAACTATAGTATCAAAGTTTTCACTATAGAAAATCAAAGTTTTTACTATAACAAATCAAAGTATTTTTACTATGGATTTCAGGTTGTTATTTTTTATGTTCTCTAATTCATACAAGCACAATTTTTACATTAAATTGAACTATTACCTTATATTCGCATGTTATTTCCAAATTTTACATCACTGTTATCGAATTTAAGAAGTTTTAAGCTTTGAAATCTCAAAAAAAAAATCTCTAAAGTTTTACAATAAATCAAAGTATCAAAGTTTTTACTTTTTACTTGTTAGGATAATGTTTTCTTGTCAAACTTCGTAATACGAGAATGTTTTAATCAGTCATTGCTCAATGAAACCAAGTTGTTCAATTCTTGGAACAAAAATTATTTTAACTTATCTATTTTATGTAACAAAGTACGGGTTGAAGGGTGGGTGTGAATGTGGCAAAGAAAAGCCTTCGAGTGCTTAAATTGAATATCTGTCCTCCTGGTATTCAACCTTTATATATTGACCAATAGCTACAGCCACTTTTAATACCTTAAATCATTAATTTTAAAAGGGCCAAAATTTAGGGAACCCCGATCTTTCAACTTGCGTCATAATTTCATAAATAGTGTTATGGATTTTGTGGAAGATTACACCAGACGGTGGGCCAGACATGGAAAAGAAGACCTTGACATGTTGTCAGAATTGATTAAATATACATGTATCCTATATATATTAAAATCTCGCATTAAGCTATTGAGGGGCAAAATGAAAACCAACTATCCTTCTGTGTTCAATAATTCAGAAGTGAAAAAAGAATTAGATTACACAATCAGTATGTAATGGCCCCTGCTTACAAAGCAGGTAACAGCATTGTCTTTGTTTGTTAGGCTCATTATTTAAATTGTATTTTAGAGGAACTTTCATTCTACAAGACTTAGTGGTAATCCAACTTATACCCATAGTTCCCTTTCTAAGGAGGACATTCTTCAAAATCATATGTCACTTTTGAATATATTTAATATTTCCAACAACTAACATTATTTTGAATTACCATATCTATATTGGATTCCGAAACTTCATAAAAATCCTTATAGACAAAGATACATAGCGGGGTCCAGTAAATGTTCTACCAAGCCTCTTTCTTTACTCCTCATTCAAATAATAACAATAGTGAAGGAGAAACTTTAGGAGCGCTGTGCAACAATATATTCGAGAAGTAGTGTAAATCAGATGTGGATACTTAAAAATTCTAAGGAACTTTTGGAAAATTTGAAATGACAAAACTTTACCAAAATCAACAACATAAAAAACTTACGACTTTTCAACTTTATATACAACCATTCCCCGCGATAAATTAAGTCCAGGCTTTTTGATATCAATGAGAGCTGCTTTTTCAATAAAAATGGAACTCGTAAATGTACTTACCTTGTCATTGGTTATTCGCTAAATTATTTTATTAAAAACATTCTGATTGTACACACAAGTACTATGAAGTTGATATTAAAAAGATGCTTGAGTTTCTGATCTGATTGACAATATCTACATGTATGTGGTTTTTGGAGACCAGGTCTTCCAGTAATCTATTGGTATTCCCATGGGTACCAATTGTGCCCCGTTATTAGCAGACCTATTTTTGTATTCATATGTATTCATATGAAGCAGAATTTGTTCAAAATCGTATACGTGAAAAGAAGAAAACACTTGTTGTGGCCTTCAACTCGACATTTAGATATACATTGATGTATTGTCAATTAACAATGGCTATTTCCATTTTTATGTCGATACGATATATCCTGGTGAGCTTGATATAAAAGATACCACATAGTCTGACACATCTGTTCATATTTGGATATTTTACTAGAAAAAGACGCTTATGGTAATCTAACACCCAAGCTTTATGATAAACGTGTTGACTTTAACTTTTCAATCGTCAACTTCCCTTAATGTAATGTACCTTCAGCACCTACATACGGGGTTTACACGCCTCAGTTGATTCGATACACAAGAGCATGATCTACGTTTGAACAATTTCTAAAACGAGATAAGCTATTGACAAACAAGTTGATGAAACAAGAATATCAGAGTCTCGTTTAAATTCGTCATTTCGTAAGTTTTATGGTCGATACAATGACCTTGTCAGCAAATACAATTTATCATTAAGTCAAATGCTGACTGTCGTTTTTCATACTAGTTGTTAGGCCATTATTTACACACTGAATTGTCGATAGATTTTCCCGTTATTTCTCGATCATGACAAGGAGCACAAGGCGGGTGTGACCGGTCGGCAGGGGATTCCCACTCCTTCATGGCACCTGATCCCACCTCTGATGTTTTAGAGCTCCGTGTTTGCTCTGCTCCAAAATTTGTATTGTTTAATGGACTTTTGAGCTTGAATACTGTCGTTATCTGCATATATTTCATTATAAACAATAACAGATAGAATGGAGCTCGGTTTGTGCATGCCCCTGCAACTTTTCCTTGGTCCATAAGTCTGGTGTTACACAAATTTCCTGGATGAAAACATAGTTAGGAGGACTTCAAAAGTATATCTGGACAAAAATGATTTCAGTATAATTTTGCTTTATGAATTTTTTTACCTTGTCTACAGTCTGGTGCTGCGAAATTTGGATCTGCACAGCCATCCCCATCACAAGTACCCATTTCTACGTCACAAGAGTCTTTGTTCATACAATGGTTGCATGTTTCGGTGCAATTTTCACCCCATCTTCCCACACTGCAACCTAGAGTATTAGAAAAATCATAGTTTTATAAATTTTTTAAAATAAATATTGGCAAATGCTTCAGCAGAGGTCATTGATAAACTCTCTGACGAGACTGTAGTTCTACCGGTTTGTACTTAACAGAGAAAAATTTAAAAAAAAAGAAGCACTTTGACTTTGCGAGAGCAGTAAACATAATAAAAATCCTTGGTTAAGATTTATTGCAAACAAACAAACTGTAGAAGGAGTAGTGTTTGAAAGCTTTTCACAGAAATAAAAAAAACTATCAAGAGAATTATGTATCTCAGTGTAGTCTACTTGCATGCAAATCTATATATTAAAATCAGACCAAAACTGAAGGAGAAACGCGGTTTTGAAAGTATTTCAAGGATATTTCAATTTTTACATGTAGTAACTATGGCGACGATATTCCTCGATATCAAAAAGCGTTACTGAGAATTTCGTATCTTAGTGTAGTCTATGTTCTCTTTGTTGAGAACAATATCACAAAACCTTGATACTGTGAAGATGCTGTGCCATTTAAGCATTGAATCATTATTTTTTGAAAGATATAGTCTCATAAATGCCTCGGTGTGTGCAAACAAATTGTGTAACACGCGTTAGCGGCCACTTGAAATCAACGGCCACTTTTAATTCCCCCCGACGATTTTTTAATATATATTTTAACTGGAATAAACGGCCTCCTGTGTAAGGAGGCAGCGGCAATTCAAATCTTCAACGCTATTTACACTGTAATAGGCGGTCATTTCGTCCATTGCTGCGATCATATCATGTTTTTGAAACATACTCGCATGGATAATTATATATACTTGTTGGTCTACCTTAACTAGATTCGCCGAACTCTGTTTTCAATGTATTTCATTCAATATTGATTGTGTTAAGGTATACCTTTACTCAGACTGAAAAAAAATTCCACTGATAGGAGGGACAAACCAACATATGTACATTAAAGAACCCAAATAGTAGTGTCATCTTCCACTTTGAAATATCTAGGTCAATGACCTACATGTACTTTTTGCTATTTGGCCTCCAAAGATTTCCCGGAAAATCCCTCCAAATTCTACCCTATGGCCATTTTTTCTTTTCAAGCAAAATATGAGTAGCATCAGAAATCTTTTGGCATATAAAATGTATTTTAATATAGTAGCTGGTGCTAAATACCAAATAATTTTCAGATTTGGGTCAACCAATTAAAAATTAATAAAGTACGAATTCCCACTAATATTTTCATCATTCCGGATTAGACAACATTTTAAATAATTGAAATTACCGAAAAGGACTTTAGGTTTACTAGGTGTAAAATACCTATTTCGTGGTGATGGTGGTGGGGTCCACGTTTTCTAGGGGGGTCCAAAGTCATTTTTTTTTTTTTGCTTTAGTATATACTTTTAATGACTTTGCAAATTCCAGGGGGAGTTCCTGTACCCCCCCCCCCTCTAGATCCGCGCATGTACCTGTAAGCTACTCTCAACAAATTCAATCCATTCAAAAATTTTACATATATGTATTACGTAACTATATTTAAACAGAGAATATTAACGCAAGAATACGGTGCCGCTTTTCTTCCAATAGACAAAGATTGCGCTTAAATACGTTACAGCTGTTCTTACTACTTTTTATAAGCGCACTGAAAGGTAATATAAGGGTGAATTAAAAAAAAATGACTGACAAACTGAATTTTTTTGGCAAAATTCAACTACTTATAACATATTTTTCACTTATATCATCATATTGCAAATGCATTCTAGTTTAAAATCCTGAAGTGGCAATAGAATAGACAATTGGATTAAAAAGTTTCAGAATTTTTATTAGTAAAATTTCTTTTGAAAAAAGAAAATATCATTACACCTTAAAAGACTTTCTAAAATACATAATCACAAGAAATTATAGTTTTTTATGCTTCAAAATGGTAAAAGGTGTATAAATGAATAAATCTAGACCTTAAATGAGTATCTTCTCTTGTACATGTGACAAAAAATTGGCTTTTTGATTGTTATTTTAGATTATTTTTTCAATTCTGGTTTGAAAAGTTTTAATATGAAAAAAATATGAAGCAATAAAATTCCCCAAGATTCATTTTTTTGTCCGTTCAAGTCAATTCTTTAAATCTAAGCCAAAAAAGAATTGTTATATACGAGTTCTCGTACAAAAAATACTAAATTTTGAAGTGACCCTATGTCACATTATTGTGTTGCACTCCTGACATCTGATACATGTATGTATTTTATTTAACATTGTTTTACAAATGATAACACACAATAACCCATTCTTTCTTTGTAAATCAATTTGTCGTGTTGATATTTTTCATCGTTTACAGCAGGTGTTTCATATTTTGAAGACCTTAAAACATGATTATTTGCAAAGTGTAATATATATAAATTGTATTTAAAATATATGTGAAATGATGAAAACTATTCCCTGAATTGACTGTAAAATTTCTGTAATTTGTTGATAGACATAGTGTTTTGAACATCAAATAGTATCAAGCAGTTTTTTTTCAACTTATTTTTTAGTAAAGATAGTTAAAAAGCATCGGTAATTATGAACCAGTTTTGTTGCACTCCTGACTGCAGTAAAGTTTAAAATTAAAACCATAGAACACAAAAATTCATAAAGTGTTGGCAACATCAAGTGGTAATGAAATTGTGCAATACTTATAGTCCGATACTTCATAATTAAAACAGATGAAAGTATTTGAAATTCGCATTTTATCTGGAATTATACCCCATTTTATGCCAAAAAACTAGTTTAAATGTATATTTAGAAGATAAAATATATTTTAAAGCATATTTTCCTTTAGAAGACAATCACAGTAACCCACCAGAAAAATTCTACTCATTTTTTCTTTATTTTTATTCTTATTGGATGATTTATAATTTTAACATATTTGTTGCACTCCTGACCAAAAGCATTGGGGCCTTTAAAGTAGAACTGTGAAGTGAAAGTTACACAAGAACTTGTTCTGTTGTTTCAGTGAAGTTGAGGAGGAATTACTTGAATTTTATGACAATGTTTTAGTGTGTTTATTTTTAACGTTCATTAAAAAAATCACAAAAAAAGATAAAAACACATCTGAATGGATAAAATTGAAAACGGAAGGATTTTAATAATAAAACTGTCAATAATTTAGCATTAAATTATACAAAAGATCATTATTAATTAATGAATACTTCTAAGCATTTTCTAATAGTTTTTTCATGCTTGGGAGCAAAACATCAAATGTTGCACTCCTGACATTTTTGGGTATGCACATATACTTGACTCTCATTAATGCTGTTTGTGATTTAAATAATATTTTTAAGTTTTAAAATGTATATCAGTTATTATTTTACACTTCCAAAATTCTTTTTTATCTTAATTTTCTATCAGAATTTTACAATTGATGTTTTTTTGGCAACACTACATTTTTTCTGTTGCACTCCTGACATGGTATAAATTTTTTTAAACCTCAGCCATGACCACAACTTGATTAAACAAAAGTTATGACAGTCCACATTTAAAGCTCAATACTTTGAATATTATCAGGAAAGTCTTTATTTTCAACATGAAGGATTATTTTTTATTTCACAGATCTCCACAAAATATTGAAACTTCAAAATGTCACAAAAAGGTGTTGCACTCCTGACAATTTTAGCATCATTTTTGGGCATAACTTTTTTGTTACATGTAATTGAGATATCAACGAGATATTTGGCAGGTATTTAGACACTATCTAAAGACATATGCTGAGACATAGGAATCTATTTTCATTGCCTGTATTTTTAGTGTGGGTTGATAAATATGCGTTTGGTCCTTTTTTTTTTTAAATTCACCCTTAAACAATAGTTGACTTGTGACTAATTTGAATACGTAAGGGCCGTTTTCACGACGTCACATATCTACCGGTTCACTGTTTAACGTAATCGTTATGAAAAGAAAATCTTTCTACTCTACTACAACCGTGCCGTATTAATGCGTCAGAGTATTATATTAGCATCTTCTGTTTCTGTCTCGTTGAAGCCGAAAATATGAAATTTGGAGGTGAAATCTAAAAAAAATCACTATAATTGAGTTCATTTTTAATTCCAAAAACATTTAAACTTGGAAATTTGAAGAAATTATTTGCTGACTTCTGGCTCTCCGCGCTCTCATATTTCATCTAACGTGTAAGAACAGAAGAAATTTGGAATGAAATCTGTACATACGTCAAGCAAAGAACAAAGTACGTTATTGACCATATTTGGCCGAGAAATTTAACGATTTTACAACTACGATATTTTGTGTTTATCTTCGATGTATTACACCTCTATTTACAATTGGACCAAAGCTAATATTTACTAGAATGAAAATGACGTAATAAGTCATTATGACGTCACAAAACCACGCCAAACACCAACTGCTTGGCAAAATCCCTTAGTTTTTGATGTAAATTCAAGACATTTTAATTAAATTAAACATTTTCCCACGCATTAACCACTTTTATATTTCGTATATAAAATTATTAGTTTAAAACCTCTTATCATTATCAAATTCGTGTTGGTTATTGTGTGGGAACAGTATGAATTTTTTTAAAAACAATTAGCCCGGAAATAGATATGCAACATAAGAGTCATTTACGCAATATTTACGTTGGGGACCAGTGTTGAACAACTGCATGTTGATGTAAATAAATTGAACTTGATGTAAGGGCAGAGAACATTTATAAAGGGTGAAATCCAAATCTGCAAATAAGGTAAGAATTAAGATGATGTCTGTGGTATATTTTAGTTGTATATATTTTAAAGAAACGAATTGAAAATCGAGAATGAACCATGCCCGTGTCGGGAATTTCACGGTAGGTCTAAGTGCATTATGTAAAGCGTTATACATTCCTCCATGTATTGAAAAGTGGGAGGGTATATAGTGATCGGGATGTCCGTCCGTCTGTCCGTCCGTCTAGCTGTACGTCCATTACGCTTTGGGGTACTCATCTCTTATGCACAACTCCTCTTATACCACTGAATGAAATTTAATGAGACTTT